AATTTGTACTCATATATATATATATATATATATATATATATAAAGTATATATTTTTCGGTTATTATTTTAAGAGCGGCTATACAATATTATTTTTTAAAGAAAAAAATTGCAGTGAAAAAAAATCAAGAAAACAATTTTTTTATTCATCATTATTTACAACGAGAGGTGACAATTACTCTATTTCATGTTCTTGCTTTTTGTCACGACTTCATGAGGTAATTAAGAACTGAAAAATTACTGCCAGTTTAACTGTTTGCCAAAACTATGTCAAACATAGACACTTCACTTCGACCATGATCTTCAAACTTCATGCGCCCAAATTCCGTTCGAGGAAAATTATACTGTAATTCTTTATTTTGTAGGACTTCTTAGAGTACAGTTCCATAGTTGTAGTCCCACAAATAAAGATCTTCTGGCAAAAATTCACTGTGATTAGAATCGTTGCTTTCAGCTCCAGCTAATTCCCAAGGTGAATTATAGTAACAAAATTTATCAAATTTTTGACTAAGGTCCAAAAGAAGATCAGGCAAATCAAGAAAAGGGTCCTCATTTTTGCAACTTAAAGATGAAGTTGAAGATGATTCTCTTGACTCTATTTCTTCAGACGAAAATTGTTCCATTAACTCACCTTGACTCTCTTCTGTAATACAATTTGTTGAACAAATGTTTAAAGCAGCAGCCTTTGTTGCAGCAGCTTGAATATCTTTAGCACATTTAGAAGCTGGTTTAGGAAATTGGTGGACTAATTCAGGGAAATTAAGTAAAGCTAAGTGACCTTTAATTGCAATAGCAGCAACATCATGTGCTCTAGCAGCCATTTCAGCAGTAGCAAAAGTACCTAACCAAATTCTTGATTTTTTTCTTGGCTCACGAATTTCGGACACCCATTTTCCCCAGCTTCGTTTTCGAACACCGTGGTATATAGGGTGTTTTAAGTCGTCAATTTTCTTCGTTTTCTTGTTCATGTCATTGCATTTAGTTTTCTTGTAATTGGTTTCTTGTTTTGATGATGCTAAGGTTGGCGGTCTTTTTGAGAGAGATGAACAAGGAGAAAAGTGGGGGATTGTGGAAGAGGTTGTTTCATTGTTAATGTTGTTGAAAATGAGAGATTTCTCTTCCATAGGTGATGGGGAGATTTCTTGAGAGTTAGTGAAAAATATATGAGGGTTTATAGAGCTACAAAGCATTAGGTTTAATGAGCTACTTATAGTGTTTTGGTTCTTGGGCTTATTGTCACTTTTTATCTTTTTCACTAGAGATGGAATAGTCCCAAACAAAAAGAAAAAAGTGAAAGCAAATAGTACTATATA